CTGGAACCCACAGCACCGGATCCTGTTTCACCAGTGAGAGTCGGATCAACCCAGCTGCTGGTGCCAACTAAACCTTTTCCTGATAAAGCAGCTTTGTGACAGTTCCTCCAGTCGGACAGAGAGAAGACATCCAGATCATCTGACTGCAGGTTGTTTGGTTCTGTTCTCTGAGACGCGAGACTGAAATGGACCAATCAGAGTTCAGCAGTTTATTCTCTGAGGGATGGGTCAGAGGCTGACTCTGTTTGGTCACATGATTCCTGAGAAACTGAAACCTAAGATCAGATTTCACAGTCAACAGCAGCTCCTGCTGTTCTGACCCGGCCTGGTCATGACGTCCAGAACGGTGATGAGGCTTCTAGAGTGGCTGAGGTTATGCTGAGCTGTCTCTGTAGTCATGCTGTTATGGGCCACTTGGTGGAAAATGGGCCACTTCCTGCTACACTCCAACTTTGTGTTTGTTGTTTTTTCAACTTTTAACTTTATTTAAATTAGAAAGGAAATAATTATTGGGTCTAGATAAAAGGTGTCTTGACTCCTAATGTGATTTTTTTTTATTTGGTTGGCCAGAAAATGTTTTTATTGTCAGCAACAAGAAGTTTCTTTTTGAAGTCCTGCTGTATTGAACCCGGTTAAATTGGACTGGCCCGGCCCAAGTCCGTCTCACTGAAAAGTTTGCTGAATGTTTGTGAGTCGATGTGTCAGGATACGAAAATAAAATAAAGATTAAAAAAAATCCTCCATTTTCCATTTAGAAAGATTCAGTTTTCTGCTTGGAACCTAACAGAACCCAGCAAAACCCAACAGAACATGTGGATTGGATCAACAAGGTACAACTTTCTTCAAACACAAAATGACTCCAGATGTTTTCATTTCAACAATTTAATTTTTATTGGACCAGATTTGCCCAGAACAGAACCAGAACCCTTCACATTTTCTTCATCAGTTTCACAGAAAACAAAGAAATTTACAAAAATATATTTCCCAGAATTCCCTTGGTCACAAAAAAACAACCACCCAGATTCACACTTACAGGTAGAACAGTAACACAGCGTCTCCATGGAAACACACACACTCTACACACGTTGCCGCAGTAACAAGACAGTAACAGTGTTTGATCACCTTTTATTGTGAAAGAGCCAGACTTCCTGCTTGCAGCTTCATCAGTCGATCTCCACGCGGAATGCGCTGATCTCCATGGGGCGGAGCTCCTGCGCCTGGTGGGCGGAGTCAGGCTGGTCGTGGTCCCGGAGCAGCGTGAGGCCGGAGCGACGCAGCGAGCGGAACTGCAGCGGAGCGAACAGATCGTCCAGGTCCAGCTGCAGGAGACACAGACACATCTGTAAACCCAAAAAACTGATGGTAAACCTGAGTCCAGCGGAAGTCCAACCTCATCCAGGCCATTCCAGGAGCAGGCTGGGGGCGGGGTGGGGATGGAGCTACAGTCAAACCCCTTCCTGTGGAGGAGGAGCGCCACTTCCTGTGACGGGCTCCCAGCTTCCTGTTTGTCAGAGACAGAACGTAGATCAGAGTGGATCTGATCCAGAACCAGCAGAACCCTGAAGATCTTCTATGAGCAGCAGAGGTGTCACTCTGCTGGGAGGAAACTTCCACCAGAGTGAGAACTCTTTCCTCCAGCCGGTTGGACCCACCGGTTCGGATCTATTCTGACCCGTCAGAAAGGATCTTAACTGGATCAGACCGCTGGGACTTGTGAACCCTGGGCACTCTCAGTCCCAGACTCACCTGTTGGCCAGGTGTGATCAAGTTACTGTGAGGAGAGACAGGAAGTGACCTCAGCTCTCACCTTCGGGTCCTCCAGCGTCCTCAGGTTCAACAAGTGAAGGTCGCACGGCAGCGAGGAGTGCAACGCTTGGAAAGGGCGTAGCTTCGGCAGCTGGCTGTCGCCCGGGCCGACCATGGTGATTGGAGGATGGGAGAGGGAGAGAGAGGCCAGGTGGGCGAGCAGAGACAGGTGTTCCACTGAGGCTCCGCCCACTTCCTGTTGGATAGAGCAGAGCAGAACCATGAGGGCCGTGTTGGCGGTTCTGGTTTTCCTGGACAGAACCTGTTCCTTGTCGTTACCATGGTAACCTGGTGGAGCCCTGACCCCTCACCTCGGCCCCGCCCCGGTCCTCCAGCAGCAGATGGTAGAGGGTGGCGGTCGGCTTGTTGTCGGTGACCCCCTGACCCAGACCACGGTTATCGTCCTGCTGCAGCCGCCGGTCCAGCACCAGCTCCAGCTCACCTGCACAGGTAAACAAGGAGCTCAGTTCTCAGCCAGAACCGTCCCACCAGTTCCAGCGCGGCACTCACCGGGTCGCAGCGATGCCGCCGCCTGGCTCTGCGCCGACAGCAGCGACAGACGACTCGATGCGTCCTGCAGGAACGCCGCCGACGTCATCGGGTAGAAGTTGGCCTGCAGGGGGAGCTTCTCCAGCGAGCGGCGTTGCTGCATCTGCACGGCAACCAGTCAGCAACATGACAACCAACCAGCTACACAACACCCATTCAGCAACTCAGCAACCTGTCGGCAACCAGCAACTACTCAGCTGTCAGTAAGGAAACTCCTGATTGGTTGCCTGACTAAACCTTCAAAATAAAAGGTGATCAATAAAGGAAGAGCTAGAACCTGGAAGCCATTGAGGTCGGTATAGAAACGGTTGCCGCTGGCGACATCAGTGACAAGCCGCATGACCAGCTCCTTGTTGGTCTCCGACCTGATGTCCACCATGTTGGAGATCTCCAGGGATTTCCCAGCATGCCCTGCAACACACAGGAACCTCTTATTGTGAAAATCCTGAAACAGAACAGAAAGCTCCTTTCTGGCCAGAAACACGAATACCGTCCAGGTGGTAGAGCCGCACAGTGTGTGTGAAGTGTGGGAAACAGGAAGTGATGTCAGAGAAGATGGGGCCCCTAGTGACCCGGATCAGGGGGGGTCCAGAGGACGAGTAGGCCTGTAGGGGGCAAGAGAGACACCATGGGAGAGGGCGCGAGGGAAAGATCGAGAGAGATCTGTTCTCCTGACTCACCTGAGGACCCTCCCCTCCTGGCAGGAACAGGTACGCTCCACTGCGGTCCCCTGAGGTTCTGGTTCCGTACCACAGAAAGCGGACCTGGACCTGTCGGACCCGACCGGACTGCAGCTGCAGCTTCTGCTCCAGAATGAAAACAAACATTGTCTTTTTTTTTTTTTTTCGTTTGATCGGGCTTTTACTTTGAAGGGCCAGACCTGCAGCAGGCCAGTTTCTGGGGAGCTCCATATCTGAAGGTGCTTGTTGCTAAGCGACAGAGACAAGTCGGCTTCAGCTCCTTGGAGCCGGGACACCTGGAAGTGCTCAGAGTGGACGGTTGGTGGGTCGCCATGGCGATGAACGACATAGCGCGCCCGGGAGGCGGAGCCAGCCGGAGCTTTGATCACATGATACACGGTGAGTGACAGAGGAGGAAGTTCAGCGGTGAAGGAGAGCTGGAGGAAAGGAGCAGAGAAGGTCAGAGAACTGCTGCTGCTGCTGTGATCAATAAATCACTCACTCACCTGGAAGGCTTTTGAAGACATTTTACTAGGCTCCGCCCACACAGCCGAGACCTGCACTGCCATTGGTCGACCGCTTGCTGCATCGACGACGCGAGCGTCTGGAGAATCCACCACCAGCGTGATGACAGATGTACGGAGCTGCTCCGTCGGGTTCAAAACGATCACCGACCTGCAGCAATCACCAATAATCAATATCTATATATACCTGAACCCTCACACAGCTGCACACATCCTCACCTGGGCTCATCGCCAAGCGTCAACGTTGTCTTCTGAGGCAAAGCGTCCTGCGCCGAAATCACCTCATCCTGAAGAAACACATTGCAGGTGAGAAGAGGTGAGTTCAGGTGTGCAACCAGAGCAGCAGTCATGTAAAAATTAGACTTCAAAATTCAGGTGTTTGAGTTTTCATTATTAATCCAAGCCTTATAGATTAATCAGGTGAGGTAACGGTTCAGTCACCATTTGTAAGAAGGGTTTTGATTGGTCTTTGTGGTACTGGCTCTTGTCCAACAGGATTAGCCAGTGGGCGGAGCTCAGCAGCACCTGGCGCAGGTTCAGGATGGCATGAAACAACCTGTAAAACAAACCTGCTGTCATCTTTTCTTTCATTCAACAGAATAAATACGGCAGACTAATGATAAAGGTACCATGCTAAAAACAACAAGCCAGCACTGTCACCACAGGATAACGCCATAAGAACAGGTCACAAACAGACCATCAACAGACTAAGCATGCTACATCATCGTTAGAGCAGGTTGGTAACACATTGACAAAGGTTGACAGCAGGGCAACAACAGAGTGACATGCTAACCTTAACCAAACGAGGTTAACAAGATAACACTAAGAGTGTATCAACATGCTAATAGCTGACCAACAAGGTCACAAACGGCTTAGATGTTAAAATCAGGCTACCAAGGTGATGATATGCTAACAACTTCCTAATATTAAATTAAAACAGGCATTACAGCAATAGAATAACCAGACGATAATAGTAGCAGCAGCCATAGAAAAAAAAGCTAAGATGTAGCCACAGGCTAACAAACTGATAACATGCAAAACATGCTAATAACCTAACAAGGTAACAGGCTAAGAACTGGCTATGAAAGTAGTACAAGGCCACTAGCATGTTAATATCAGTGGAATAATCTGCATGGAAACATGAACCAAGTGAACAAACTCAATAAAATGCTAATAATAATGGGAGTTAATTCTGAAAGCTAACGCTAACTGAAGGGATGTGATGGGATGTTAATACTAAAAGCTATCTGCTGATGTTGAACAGGAAGTTACCTCTTAGCATTTTCCATGTTGACAGCATCTTCAACAGAGAGTTTGAAGGAAAAAATAAGACACAAACAGGCTAATGCCAAAACAAACTACAAACAGCTGACAAGGTTTTCATCACGAGAATAAATACATAAAAAATATAGATATATGATGTTAAGACAGGTCGGTTACAAGCCTTATTCATAAGCTACATATTTCATTTTAATTTAAAACAAAACACTAATAAATTTTAAATCAAATTTATTATTTTTGTGTATAGTGTTTTTAATTCTTCACTTAAGATTGCAACTTTAAAATATGACTGACAAGCAAGAGTGAGCCACAGAGACTTTTTACTCTGCACTGTAAGAGCACGCCAACAAAGTAATACTTTATTCTAAATAGATTTGGATTGAATTGCATAAGTAGATATGAAGGTAGAAATTATTTCTGTCATAAACTGTGGCTGCGCATACAAATTACATCTGACAAGTTGTTTTGTTCTAATTGTTGGTTTAAGCAGTTGCATAAGTGAAATGCTGGCAGAAGTAGGCGTAGTTGCTAGCGTAGCTGCTCGGGTAGCTGCTAGCATACCTGCTAGGGTAGATGCTAGCGTAGCTGCTCGAGTAGCTGCTAGCGTACCTGCTAGGGTAGATGCTAGCGTAGCTGCTCGAGTAGATGCTAGCGTAGCTGCTCGAGTAGATGCTAGCGTAGCTGCTAGCGTAGCTGCTCGAGTAGATGCTAGCGTAGCTGCTAGCGTACCTGCTAGGGTAGATGCTAGCGTAGCAGCTAGCATACCTGCTAGCGTAGATCAAGAACATCTCATTAAATGGAGGATTGGATTTGTTGAGATTGACCTCAGCAGCTGGTTTTATTTACCCTGCTGATAAAGTTTTGTAAACAAAGAGCCTCCATGTTGAAACAGGAAGTGGTCACCTGGTTCCGTAGTCGATCACCACCGGGTCCCGTGCTGTTCCCGTGACAGCATCGTGGTGTTGGAACAGGCCCAAGCTCCGTCTCCCTTCTGTCAGCCGTTGGTAATGTTCGTGTGCCGGAAACCCTTCGACCAAAAGACCGTCGCCACGGAAACGACGCATTTCAGCCAACGTGAGAGTGTAAAAGATTTCAGTGGCTCTGAGAAGGGAAGCAGATGAGAACCGATGAGATTGACTGGCAGAGGGCGCTGTGGCCCCACAACCCATCAGGACATGCCCACCTGAGTGTGGACTCCAGGGTCCGGTCCAGCCGCTTGTAGAACGGCCGCGAGGTGAAGTATCCGCTCCAGTAGTGGTCGTCCCGGTCAGCGTAGGTGAAGAAGTCTCCGCGCAGCGTGGGCAACTTTGTTCTCGCCTCCGCCAGCCGCCGGTGCAGCGCAGCAAAGTAGTCCGACAGCGTCCCAAACCGGGCCTGGTACCAGACTCAACCATAAGCTCCGCCCCCAGCCAGACTCA